TCCTCAGATGCCCCTAGGAGTTACCTGGCAAGGCATCCTTAACATTAGCCAGATGTGTCTCCGCTTGGTTCCTTCAATCAACATTAAGGTCCTGATGTTCTAACCCTAAACAAATCCCACTAAACTTCTCCATGTGGGCAACATGATCTGCAAATAGCAGAATTCTAAGCTAATGTCAATGCTGACATGTTTAATACAAACAAAAGGAAAGGAAAGGCACACCCCTATCAGAGTCATTAGCCTAGCTTAAACAGACTTGATGACCCTACAGCTCACACATCCCCAGCGACAGAATTGTGAGGGTTTTACTCCACCCCAAAACAAATGTAGACAAGACAATGTAGCACATTCCCATCGCTGCTGAAATAACTTGAACTGCGTTAAGTGCTGATCCATTTTTTTCATCACAGAGCCTGCATTGCATCGCTCATAAATGTGAGGTTTAACAATCGGCCATAATTTATTTTCTAGCACCCTGACCTTGGCAGGCGCTCTCTGGAAGGTTTAGCTGTGTAATTCCCCGATCATTTCAACAGACCCTCTGGCCCCCTTACTGAAATTTGGGATTGGCTGGCCTTGTGTGCCAATTCAGAGGGCACCACAACAGGCCTGCAGCAAATGTGGATGAACCATCCGCAGTGCTTAGTGCCTCTTTCTTCCTTTTTGCTTTCCCCTTATGTCCCTCTGTTGCATCTCATTTTATTCTTTTTCTTTTTCTAAACTGTTTCCGCTGTTCCCCCTCTTCCTGTTTGTAACCACCAGCCTTCTCTTGGTCTCTTTTCTCCACTTTGAAACACCTCTCTTTTCCTGTTATTACATCTACATTTTAAATTATGTTTACTGGCTCTGCTATTGTGTGTTTCTGTGTGAGTGCGTGGGTGTGTTATGAGATTAAAAGTAGCGGTGTACCAGGATTTTTCACAAAGCACTTGGAATAAACAGCTATCTGTTTTGGATAATGCGTTTCCAACTTTTCTGACTTGTATCCAATCATTTATTTTGCAGTGCCTTTTTGTCATTTTGCAGATGCTCACATTCACAGGGACGTGCCAATGAGTGCAGCAGTGGAAAACACTTAAAATAATGTATTGCTAGCCATTCTAAGAGCCAATAGGGAGGACAAGGGCCAAAACAACAGTGCCCAGGCAGTACAAAGTGATCTCTGTGTCTTTGTGATGTTCATGTACTGTATCAGCAAAAAGCTTGTGTAATAATCTAATAATAGAGAGGTGCACAGAAATACCTCTATGCTGCTCTTGGATCCTTTGTCCCCCTCTCCTCTCTTGTTCTTGTGACTTGGCCTCTACTCTCCTATTGTCTACTCCTCTCAGGTCTGTCAAACCTCTCCTCTCATATCTAGTGCACTTTCCTCTTCGTTTCATCTTCATATGGGTTATTATTTGTCTTCATTGGAAACTTTCTCTTCTCTTTTATCTTTTTGGTTCTCCAGCCTCTCCTTTCTCCAGTCCCTCGTCTCCTTCCAGCTTCTCTCAGTTTTCTCATTTGTCTCCATCCTTTGCAACCTGGTATTTGTAATGTCTAACCTCATTTAGAGCTGCCTCCTTGTCCCCCCTTTTTCAACTTTGGACCTCTCCTCGCAGCTTGTGTAACCTCTCTCCTTCTGTTCATTTAAGTGAATGTCCTGCTCTCACCTCCTCTACCATCTTCTCCATCTATCAGCCTCTGTTTCCTCGCGGGTTTTTCTCCGTCCTTTTTCTCCTCTGCTTACTTTTACCTTGTAAGTCTGCTGTCCATTGGATGGTTTCTCTGCTTGTCGTCCTATTACCTGCTTTACCAGTTTCTGTCCAACCTGTCCTTTACTATCTGTCTCGCCTCTTCTCTCTCGCCCTTCATGTGTATTATTTGAACTAACTAAGCCTGTCTTTTTCAAGCCTTTCATCAGTTCCCCCTCTTCTCTTCTCATTTGGTCCTCCTTCTTCTCCGATCCCTCTCTCATCGTCCTCTCTGACCTCTTGTCTCTGCCTCTTTCCAATGTCCGACAGCTGGCCAGTCTTCATGAATTAAAGAAGAGATACAGCAGACCTAAGTCTTTGTATCGGTTTTGCCCTCTATTTATCTTATTTTCCTATTTTTTGGGGGCTTTTAAACACAATAGTTCTTACAAAATGCAACATGGATCTTTGTTTTCCTCAGCCATAAACTCTTACTCCAAAAGCACAGTTTGAAGAGGAGCGACCTCTCTTTAATCTTGTTGCAGAAATGGTATACTGTTAGGGAATAATTTGCTTAGGTATTCAACCTCCGACACAGTTCATCGTTTTCTCTTCTCACAGTCTCTTGTCCCATGGCATAGGTCTACGGCCTTGGGTATTGCTGCTATCTCTCTTAAGGAGGGGCAGCTTGGGCGCATTGTTGTTGCCAGTCTATGACAGAGCACAAGCCGCCATGAGGTAGTTTACTGTTCAGGGACGTAGGTTCCCTGGCGCACATTCTTTCCTATGGACGAGAGCTCTAGATAGATTCAGGGTCCATATTTATTTAGACTCACTGATAAAGAATGTTGATTATTATACTCCGAACTAGTTAACACCTTGAGCTGCAGAAGGGTTCATCAGAATTGGTTTGGCAACCGCTGTGTCAACTCGTGACACACAACCTGTCTTGTAAATTCTCCGGTCGTAACTCCAAATAAACCGTCAGTGTTTGCCATCAAAGCTCCAGCTCTCCTCGTGTCTCTCTGAGTCCTGTTTCCAATTGCTTCAGAAGTTTCCCCCACATATACCAAATCACTAACATTTGCAAAGTAACACACATGTAGTAATTCAGAGGCCAAACATCTTGCACATCACCATGCATACAGACCCCTCTGGGAAATGTATCCCTCTTAACATGTTTTAAGTGCACAATTGTTTGAAAACAGTCCAAGGCCATTTTGTTATATTACAGTTAGCAGTTTCATCATGTGAATCTTATGTATTGTCGGAGAACATTTTCTTTAAAAGCCTGATTCAAATAGTACAGAGATATAATCAGACACTTACAAAATAACTAGAATGAAAAGTGCTTTGAGACTTGGGTAACAAAAATCCTCTTAGGCTAAAAAGCTCACTAATGTTATACTTAACTTAACTGCACATCCATGTTGCTAAAACACATATCTATGGGGGTCATTAGGGTGGGATGCATTGTTTTATTGCCGAAAATAATATAAAGTGCACTATATTCGCTATCCAACCTCAAAATGCCCTCAAACATAAAAAAAGAAAAAGTCTCTGGTTCTTACACTCATGTCTCATATATGTCATTACTGTGAGTCTCACTACATGCATGACTGAGAGATAACACACTGCTCTACTGTACTCTATTTGATGTGTATACTAAACAGTTAGATTGCCTTCGGGCAGAGCTTCATCTCATCTGACGTTCTTTATATTCATTTTTTCTTATTCTCTTGAGCGGTCCTTTTTTGTTTGATAACCTTCCCGACTGTATTAACAGAGACTGAACTCACTGTCTTCAGTAATAATCACTCAATAAGGGCCTTTAACAAGCTCTCCTAATATTTATTTTTACCAATCCTCATATGTTGTGTCTGCCCTTTTCCTTATCAGTGCTCCTCCCTCCCTTACGGTCTCTCTATCTACTCAGTATACCTGCGGCATTATGAAAGGGCAGTTAGAGTGGCTCTTGGTGCTCTAGGGAGGATGGTAGAACATTGGCTTCCAGGCAGTTTCTTACATCATTTCCTTTTTCATCTCAGTGCACTATTTCCCTCACATTTGTCAACGTTTTCTTTATTACCCCCTTGGTTGCTGTTGGTAACTAAATGTGAGAGCAGTTAAAGCTGATGTAAATTTTACAATAGGCAACCAACTCATTGTCTCGGTGATGATGCTTAAACAAGTGTTTTTGAAGATGTGAACTTTGCTGACTTTCTACCACTATTATGATTATTACCATCGGCTTTCTCTTCTCCTCTCCTCTCCTCTCCTCTCATCTTATATCCTCGCCTCTTGGCCACTTTAACATGTAACCTGTCTCAAGAAACCATTGTAAATAATTCACGTGGGAGTTATACTGCACCCAGGACAAGTGCTGTGCTCCGCTTCTGGTCAGTGGTGTTATTATGTGAAGGGATAATATCACTCATTAAATTCCCTCGTCCACATATTTCAAGCCAGTGGAACAAATTGGCTTTCAGCTAAAATCTTCTTAAATTGCAGCCAGCCTTTGCACCTCAGAGGATAATGCAAAGTGACATTATAATCATCACACTTTAAACTCTCGGAAAGTTCTGATTTAAATAGGGATGTTTTTTTGTTTTTGTCGATTTTTTTACAGGCTTTCAGAGAAGGTAATTTAGATCGTGCAGTAATTTTCATTTTCAAGTTCATTAACGTGTATGCTACACCGTTTTTTGTTTGTCATGAGTCATTTCACAACAGAAATTGGTCATGCTGCCGTCTGTAATTACATGGCCACATTTTGGTGACTTTCCCCTAAAAACTGCATTTTTGTTAGAAAGGTTTTACCTACCTCAAATTGAAATATGTAGGCTTGTCTTCCATGAGCACACCCATAACCTGAGTGCATGTACCGCAACAGAAAGCCATTACATACATGTCAATCTCTTGAAGAAGACATCTCTCTGTAAGCGTGATGCTCACCATCAATGTGTACCCTACAGACATGATGTGCACATAAACAAAACAATAACAATAACAATAATTCAACTAACAGTGTATTCGTTGGAGCGGGCCTCTGTGTGATAGTGGTGAATGCTGTGGGTCTGCAACAACCACAGCTTACATGTTGCTAAACCTTCCCTTTCTTATTGGCCTGGTCTGTTTCTATTGTATTTTATTTACAATTATATTAAAGTGCAACTCATCACTAATCTAGAAAGGCTGACAAAGTCCTGATCGTTACAAGATGTGAAAATCATTAGGTATTTTTTGTTTTGCATTTGTCTATGCCTGTATTCTTCTACTACGTTGTTTGTGTTTTTTATAAATGATTTGGTATTTGCTTACTTCCAGGCTGACTGGTACAACCCTGCCATCACCAGTGATCTCGAATAAGAACTGGCTTCGGATACATTTCACCTCAGATAGCAACCATCGAAGGAAAGGATTCAGTGCACAATACCAAGGTACTTTCAGTCTCTTTCAGTCTCTTCTATTCTCTGCCTCCATGTTATGCCTACATGCACCCATACAAACAGAAGATAGCACTGGACATATATAGTACATTTATTGCAGAATATTTATATTAACTGTAATTGAGGAAGCCAATTATTAAGGACAGAAGTCTGAAACCACCTGAGTGGACTTCCTGGACCTTTCTGTCATCTAATTGACTGGTCGTATTACTTAATTAGCATATTAAGGTGCATATTAGTTTCCACGTGGCGGCTCAGATTTAATTGGCTACTTCCATCACAAAACAGGATGACCCAAGACCTGTGTATCTTGCTGTGCGTCTCCAGCTCTTCTTCACTTTATGCTGCTTCTTTCTTCCACAGTGGTCGCTCTCATGCTCTTGTCTTGGTACTCCTGTCGTTTCCTTTCTGTCTGTCTCTCTGTGTCTTCTGTATGTATGTGTGTGTCTGTGTGTATGTGAGGTCTGTTTCTCGGTGGAATGACGTTTGGTTTCAACACAGACTTTTCTGTTATTCCCTGCAATGATGCTACTTAGGATGAAATAGATGGAATTCATTTCCATGCTGCTCCACTGCTTTGTTTTTTTCCTATTTTCTTCTCTCTTGTCCCGTCTTTTCTGTGTCTTTTAATGTCTCCTTTTTTTGTCCTTGTTCTAATTTTCAATTCCTGCCACTGTTGCACTGTTGTAGATTTGTTATTAGAGGAGCTGGAAGCACTTTCTGAATTGCATGCATAGCTGATGCGTACTAAATGGCAATGCTTAAAAGATCTACAGTAATTTAAGTTTAATAAAGCATTATTCATAATTAAATTAATTAACTCCCTTTCCTTTCCATTCTGCAGTGAAGAAAGCAATAGAGTTGAAGTCCAGAGGGGTGAAGATGATGCCCAGTAAAGACTCCAGTCACAAAAATGCCGTCTGTAAGTAAACTGTTGTCTGTTGTGTTGATGTTTTTTTTGCAGTGTGACTCTACGCCATGTTGAAAAACCTTTTTAAACTAATGTTAAACACATTTGGTCACACACTGTGCGTGCACAAGGACATCCATCTGTGATGTGGCAAGAGCAACAAGGTTCAAAATAAAAACCAAAATCCATAAATATTTGTGCTTACAGAAGTCAAATGTATTCATAGAAGCGAATATGTTTTAAAAATACACCTAGTATTTGTAAAGACATTTTATGTTATGCTACGGGAACAATCCATTTTTTCAGTTCAATACAAACCAACCAATGAAATCTAAACGTCCTTATTACAAATACTTGTCACTAATAAACTGAAATACCGTAGCATTTTGTCGCTGTTATTTTGGTTGGAAAACGTTTCAAGTCTTCTTTTGCCACACACAGTAAACCTCCCTCAGCTGGTGTCACAAGAATAATCTGCTACAGTCCATAATAAACTCAATGCAGCATAATGACTCAATTTCTGCTGGCGTAGCTATTGCTTCCCAATGGACAAGTTCTTGTATATCCATTTCTGTTTTCTATTTCAATCTAACTTTCTAAATTTCAAGTAGAGTCTGGTGGTTTTGTGTTAGGATTCTTCACGCTGGAAATGTGCCCACTGCATCTTTTTGTTCCCTCTGAAAGTGCAGCCAAGAATCCTGCAAAGTGACAGTGTATTCTCCCTCAGGTGAAGTCATTATGTAATGGGTACATTTTGTATTGTAAGCCAGAAGAGAAATAGTACAGTCCTATAGTGGACATTAATGAGGGCCAGTATATGGAGGATAAGTACAAAAATACAAAAAAAGTCCATTTAGTTTCTGTCTGCTAGATTATTTTTCACTCGGCTCTCCTCTCTCCCCTACTGTTCATGTGCCAAGCTCGTTGCTTGCATAATACCCTACATGTCATTTAAAAAGGATTTAAGTAGATGTTGTTGTGCCTTTCACATCGCTGTTTTTTGACATGGTGAAAGCCTTTAATTTTTTTATTATTCTAAGAGCACAAAGCATGACTACATGTCAAAGCTAATTATTATATTATTTTGCATTTTGAGGCTGTAATTTAGATGCTTTAAATTATTAAATGGATTTCCCATTTGTTGTGATGAACAAGGTTGACTTTGTTCTCATATAATCTCAGGCAAGATGCCATGTGTGGATTTGATCACATACAAACCCCATGTTTTCATGTGAAGGAAACTGACTGTAAGCTTCCTGGGTTTATTAGAGGAAGTACATTGGAAACAAAACAAAAGCAAAGCTTTGTCCGAGAAGGTCCTTAAGATGACTTATAACTATTACATTGTAATGCTGGCAACTATTTTTCGAGAGTAGGTGACAATTTTTGCAATTTATTTTGTTATTTAGGCCAATAAAATATACCTCTTGTTTCTATGTTAAGCATTTACTTATTTGCTCAAGTTAAG